TATTTGGGTTGTGGTCCTTCACCTGAGCCTGTAAATCCTAATCAGCGTAAGTATAGTCTTGTGCTTGTCATATCATTAATCTGATTATAAAATCTGGTTTAAAAAGGTTCAAACCTTATACAGAAAATTTTAGAACTGCTATTAATTTCTTAAATTCTTCTAATCAAAGAATTGTTATATTTAAGAACTATTGTACTGCTCAGGGTGTTAGACCTAGAAAGTTTGGCTTAGATATAAATGTTAGATGGAATGCTACATATCTTATGCTTAAACACTTGGTTTCATATAAGGATGTTTTTTTTGTGTTCATTAATGCAAATTATGGCTCAACATTGTTGACTACAAGGCATTGGTATATAGCTGAAAACATATTAAAGTTCCTAGAAATATTTTATGAATCCACAGTTGTTATTTCTGGTGTTTTTTATCCAACTAGTCCACTTATTCTACACCATCTGCTAGACATTGCTTCTTATTTGCATGCAAGTGAAAAAAAATCAAAATCTAATAGCTGTTGTATATCCTATGAAGCTTAAATTCCTTAAATACTGATAAGATATACCTCTGTTATATTCATTTGCTTTCATTCTTGATCCTAGAGCTAAGTTGAGAGGTTTATTTAATGTTCTGCAAATACTTAAAGAGAACAATGATGTTGATTACAGTTCATATTATACTGATGTGAAAACTAAAATTTACAAGTTGTTTAACAAATATGAGAAAGTTTGGTGTAGGTCTCAGAGGCCTGCACGGCCTGTAAGCCATATAGGTAAGAAAAAATAGGTATGGGGAAGAATCTTTGGAGGCCCTGGATCATCTGCTGTTGTTGGTCCTTCCCCTGCCTCTGCCCGCACTTCATCTCAATCTACTTCTGCTGCTGGTTGTGAGCTCGCAGTTTATCTGGACAGTGACAATGTCACTACATATGAGGATGACTTCGACTTACTTCTCTAGTGGCGTGACCTCAAACTAACCTATCATATCATATCTATAATGGCTAGATATATTATGTCTGTTCCTGTATCTACTGTCTCTTCATAATCATGTTTCAGCTTGACAGGAAGGATAATTGAAGAGCGGCGATGATGCTTGTTGCCTGGAACTGTGGAGATGCTGGCTCGCATAAATGATTGGGAGTTAGGAAAAAGAATGTTACAGCATGCTGTTGACAACCAACAGTTGGAAGACTCCTTCAAGAATTTTTATCTTGATGAAGATGCATCTGGGGCTGCTACTGCTGCTGGCACATCTGGGGCTGGCACATCTGGATCTGCATCTGTGGCTTCTGCTGGTACATAGGCCTCATTCGGATGGCCTTAAAAAAGTACTGTTCACAGATGATTTTTACTGTGCACGGATGGTTTCCTCTCACACATTTCTCCAGATTCATCCAGATTCCTCCAAATTCCTCCAAGCGAACAGGGCCATAGTGTGTGAGACTTGAGAGTTGTGAGACTTGAGAGTGATATGTTATCTTTGTATCTGTGATGTGTGATTGATACTGGTGAACAATGGTTTAAGACTTAATTAAGAGCTGTGTTGCACTCTTTTTTTCTTTCTAGGGTTTTTCATAAGGGTGAGTTTTACCTAAAAATGTTTTAAATGAGGCAGCATTGCACAAACATCTCAGTTATCTTAATTCCCTTGTCTCCTTTTGTGGTTTTCATTAGAATTTAGAATCTGTAATCAGTTTATTACCTATGCATGTGAAATACTGAAATATGAATGAATTGTGAAATGTGATTGTGAAAATGGAGAAGTGTTGGATGAGAGAAGCAGCTTGTGGTGTGGGGCACCGGGCTATGGGTTGGCACGGCCCGCGGATTTGGCCGTGCTTAGCGGGTCGGCACGGCATGGATTTCAGCCCGTAGGTCCGTGCTTGGGCCGAAGGCCAGGCACGAGACCCAGAGGGGCACGGCCTAGAAGGCACGGCGTGCCGTGCCGGCCCGACCCCCTGCAGGCCGTGCCTGGCCCAGGCCTGGGCCGGGCCAGCCCGTTGGCCAACTATACCAACTAGTAGCTTTAATTTTGCAAGTGCAACGAAGGGAACCAAAATGAGAAAAAGAATAGTTTGCATAGTTCCTTAAGGTAACCCCAGTCCTGAGCCTTGAACACAAAGTAACCGAGGGATCGAAACAAGTCTCCTTTCTCTTGACGAGGGGCACCATTATGTGACACTCTTGTTATGGTACGACCAAGCCTACTTATTGAAGATTTTAAACCCATATGTCATACTGTCAAACATACTTGCACATTACAATGTGATGTACAACTTGTTGCGCAGTCATCTAGACTAGCCCGTGCCAATAATAATGAGCTACATATCTTTATTGGATTAATTTGTCTTAGCACAACTTAATTTCAGCTAAATCAAATGTTTGACTGTATCTCGAAATTCATGAATTCACCATAGGCGCCTCATCGTTGACGGGATGTCGCCTACCACTTAAAGCATAGCGCTGTTAAGCCCTGCAATAAATCCAATAACACATTTAAACCGCTCGAAGCCACTGCCCAGCGATCCCAGGTGACCGTCCAGGCTCGTCGGCAAAGTGCAAAGAAATAATTTCTTTATATCATACTCACTCCGGTCCATTTTATCTAGCGTAAGTTAGAATGACACGGTCTCCTAGATTATACTTCGACCATTCATTTGCTTTATATTATATTATATATGCTTATAAACTTATAATCATTGGATAGTATAATTCCTTACCAATCTAATCATATAAAGTTTGTATTATAATAGTTAAAAATTATTAACCTAATTGTTGGTCAAAGTTTTGAAGTTTAAATCTTGATATGCGTATGCGCCAGATAAAATGGACTCGAGAAAGTATATAAATATTGTAGTTTTTAGATAAACATTTTTATTTTTATACACTAAAAGTCTCTTAGGCTCCTTAAAAATTTCTGGCTCCGCAAATGATCAAACGGATGAGACTTGTCTCTCCCCTGACAGCTCACCGTTCAGGCCCTTTCAAATACGGTGTACAGTACGTACATAAATCCTTTCATGTTGAGATTATGTTTATATAAATATAAAAATCCGGTCTTTCAAAGTTATTATATATATATATATACACACACGGTAAGGCTATTCTGCAGCTGGCTACAAAATAACTTATTCTATGGTCACCTTAATTTACGATAATGTTTGTACCAATTTACGATAATGAGAATACACATTTACGATACATGAGTTACTATAAAGAGGATACTTACCATAATGCTATAATAAATCACTTATGAGAGAATTATCATAATCTCGTAAATTAGTATAGTAATTATTGTAACTCAAATGGGTCACAGAATAACTTATTCTGCAGTCAGCTACAGAATAGTACGTGTATATATATATATATATATATATATATATATATATATATATATATATATATATATATATATATATATATAACGTACACCAACAGTTTGTCCAATAAAAAGCTTGCGTGTTCAATACGCGATCTTAATTGTGGACCAAGTTTATCTCCAAGCCGTTTTCCATTAAACAAACCCTTTTTTTTTTACGTAGTGAACGGCTTCTACTGCAACCACAGACCAATAGCCTCCTCTCTGTCTCTCTCCTTGCTGCTGCTGGCTGAAATAGACACCAACGTCCTGTCTAAAACAGAAATAGACACCCACATTTCTATTCAAACTTTTCGAGAAAAAAAGAAAATGCCTTTTTTTACAACAAAAGGAAATGCCTTTTAATTAGCGGCTCCCGAAAAACAAGAGTACGTACCAATTATAGCAATTCTTTTATTGGGTAGGTGTCACTCCCTGGTACCGTGCTGGCACGTGAAAGGGCTCGGAGTCCCTATCACCCCACCCAGCGAGTGGCACGGGCGGCGAGGCGCGCCCTTCCCGTCAACGTGTCGCTCTCGAGAGGCCTCGTCCGTACAACGCGCCGGGCCCAGAAGACCGACCGGCTCCCCACCATCGTACGCGCCCGCGGGCCCGGCATTTCTTGGGATTGGCACCCGTCGCATGGCCCAACAGTCCAACTTGCTGCGGAAGGCTGAAAGCTCTCACGCATCTGGACTTTTTGCATTTTCTCAAAAAAACAAAATCTGGACTTTTTGTAGACACAATAGTTTAGCGAGTACTACTACTATAGAGGATGACATTGGTCCCGGCATTTCAGTGTGTTGTTTTCCTCGCGGCTATGCGCGTCCAGGTCGCTGGGAGTTAAGTGACGTGGAGAGGAGTGACGGCAATGGAGAAGGAACCACGGCTGGAGTTGGTTGACTTTTTCGCCTTTTTTTTCATGCTCGTGAGTTCAAACCGAAGCAAAACGGGGCTGAAATAACATTATGACAATTGTAATTTGCATGTATGTACCACGACTAAAAACCGATCTTTGTTTTAGGATTTTTTTTTTTCAATTACACATACAACGCATGCACACTTATCTTATGAACGTACATACACAAATCCTACCCTTACAAGCATCTTCGAAGACTGAGCCGACAAATCATCGAGATTGACGAAGTTACCACAGACGTCTTGTTGTCGAGGAGAACGTCACCTACCATTGAAAAGCACAACGCCGTTAAATCTAAAATATTCTTTTTTATGGGGAGTCGAACATAGGACCACTCAAGGCGTGTTTGATAAGGTGGCCCAGCAGCTCGGCTGCACCCCTGGGCTACAAGTGCCGTGTTTGGTGTGCTTTAGTCAGCTCCCCGGCCTGACTCGCACGCTGCTCAAAACATCTAAATGGGTGGCTCCGAGGAAACGAAGTGGAAGTTCATTTTTTCATAGCTTGGCCCGGTGGAGCGAGATGGAACCAGCGGTGAGCGAGCGGGTCACCTCCTGGCTTCTCACCTCTCACCTCGACGCGCCCCGCACTCGCTCGATGCGCTGCTCTCCCTCGTCGTCGACTCCCTCGCCATCTCTCCTGACGACTCCATCGATCTCTATCGAGCTCTCCTACCCGTCCCGCCCGCGGCCCCTTGTGCTCCGCCTCTCCGCGCTGCGGCTCCAAATCGATGAGGGCTACTCCACCACCACTCCGCCGCACCACCGGTTCCATGTCCCCCGATGTCTTCCTCCCCAACCTCGAGGCCCGCACGCTCCACCTTCGTGAGCACAGGACTGCCGCCGACGTATCCACCGTCACACTCTCCTCCGACCTTGACGTCGTCATTAAGCACGATCCGTTCGAGCTTACCGTCCACCGCGCTAGGTCGGGCGATCCCGTGCTCTCCTTCAACTCCCACGGCCTCTTTGACTTCGAGCCGATGCGGGAGCAAGCCGCCTCCACGCCGCGGGCCCGACGCCGCCGACGTGTTGGTCCGGCTTGTGTTCCTCGCCGCCGCCTACCAACTGCTCAATGAAATGCCAATGAGAGAGGGGAGGTAACACTATCGTATTCCAGATGCAAGGTGACCATCGCCCTGTTCGTTTGGGCTTGTTTGGCTTGTTTTCAGCCAACGAACAGTATTTTTCTCCCACGTCAAATCAGCCAACAGTACTCTCAGCCATGATTTATACGTCAAATACGACCAGACGAACATGCTGCATATCTATCAATACGTCCTATCAAACACGATCTCTACTGGACCAGGTTCGATTGTTACATGTAACCAAACAAATGGGCCTTGCACCATTTCAGTCAGGCCCTGGGACAGGCCTACAGGCCGAGTCGGCCTCAACCATGGAATCAAACACGCCCTCAGTTTCCGCGCACCGACGGCGACGGCCAATGGCGACCGCACTCGCGCTCGCGCTCGCGCCCTGCGGCCAGGCCCCGATCGATTTTGCCCAGGAGGGTAAACCGCTCGCGCGATCGCCTTCTTTATTTGGCTCTCTCCCCTGGTCTCGTTTAGATAGTAAATTTTTGTAATATGGACACTTTGCAATCTAGATACTATAACACGTTTTGTTTGTATTTGACAAATTTTATCCGATCATGGACTAACTAGGCTTAAAAGATTCGTTTCGTGATTTACAACCAAATTGTATTTTTTTACCTATTTAATGCTCCATGCATGCATCTAAAAATTGATGTAACAGAGAGAGTGAAAAAACTTGGAATTTTGAGACAATCTAAACAAGACCCTGTTCCCGTCCTCTCTTTTTGTTTTTTTTTTACCCTCGCCTAGCGATCGCCTCACCCCGTTCACCCCGTCGTCCATCACGAAACGGGCAAGCGTCGGCCTCCACCGCCACCAGTCCACCTCCTCGGCTCCTCCGTCCGGGTCACGCAGTTTCCCCGCCCCCGCCACTATAAAAATCCACCCCCACCCCCACGGCGCGTGTGTACAGTACACACGCGTGCACGGGCGGGCAAGCACCAGAAAGGAAAGCGGAGGCCGGCCGCGCGGCGGGCGCCAACCGAGCCCACCAGTTCACCACCGCCTGCTTGCCTCCTTCGCTTTGCTATTTTTGGTGAGCGCCCTCCCCTCTCAGATCTGCCTAGTCTTGTCTCAGCCCCGTGGCTTCTGATCCTCTCGTTTTTTAAAATTTGTCACCTTACCTCACAGTTGCTGTTGTTGGTTGGCTGGTTTGCGTTCGGTGCAGCTTGTTCGTGCAGCGTCCCTGGATTGGGGTCGGACGCTTCCGTTTCGGGAAGCCGCGAAGGGATCGGCCGGCCACGATGGTGCGGGGGAAGACGGAGCTGAAGCGGATAGAGAACGCGACGAGCCGGCAGGTGACCTTCTCCAAGCGCCGCAACGGGCTGCTCAAGAAGGCCTTCGAGCTCTCCGTGCTCTGCGATGCTGAGGTCGGGCTCATCGTCTTCTCCCCGCGCGGCAAGCTCTACGAGTTCGCCAGCGCCGCCAGGTGCGTCCTCCTCTTGCCATCCTTCCTCCGGCCTGCATGCTTCTCCCGGTCCACCGACGAATCTGAATACGAGTCCCGCGCGTCCCATCCGTTGTCTAGCTCGTTGCGCCCCGCAGGCCGCAGCAGTTGCTCCTTCGATTTCAAACTGTCGGTGGTGAATTTGACTTGATTTTTCTGGGATTTGGTTGAACTGGGTTTTCCTGCGGTTGGGTTCGTCTTGCTCGAACGCTTGGGCATTTCTCGCCGCACCACGCTTGCTATTATTGGAAGTCGCGAACTCCTGTAGTGCCTGCTCCACCCTCCACCAAAAAATATCTGTGCGGCTTCGATGCACATCAAGCGTTCTTTCTCTCTCTCCTCCTGCCCCTTAGCTGCTACTGTTCCTTTCGCTCTCCCCAGCCACACCCATGTCCATCCCTGTTTTCATGTCTCCTCCCATTTGATACCTGGTGGACTGGCTGAAAACAGCAGGACCGGCAGGGAAAACAATTAAAGCCTGAAGAAATCGATGACAACATCGTACATGGGGGCAACCCAATGCAATGCCAAAGTCCTGAATTAATGCGCGGCCAATAGGAGGAAGAGTGAGTGAGTGGAAAAAGAGGCAGGCGTGCCCAGTACTGCGTGGAGGATAGCTGCTCATGGCTACTAGAAACGGAGAAACATCGTCATGTGACTTCTGGTCGCTTGCCTTGTTCCTCCGGCCAGCCAAAGGCACTTTTTTCTTGGTTTGTAGGAGTATTTTGGAAACAATCTTTTCTTGGTATGTATACAGTGGTGGTGCCGATGACTTTTATTGCTTGTGTTCTCCAATCACATCAGTTCCGGACGAGGTATGATATGATGGCTTGGGCCTCACCGGTCATTTTGCTGTGACGTTCGCTACAGTTTGTACTAGCATAGTATTAATTCTTTGGTTTATTGGTTGCGTGCTTTTGTTTCATCCAAAGGTTAAGAAATATAGTACATGCGATATTGTAGTTTCAGCAAGATTTCTATCTTCGATTTTATGACAAATAGGTCTGGTGACCTGAATGTCTTTAGCTTCTCTGGTGAGCTTTAGTTTCAGTTAGTTTCTCCTGTTTTACCGTGACTATTCCATCTTAATCTTCCGTTGGGTAGGTTAGGTTTAAAGTTTTAAACTGACTTGACTTCTTAATGCCTTTATATGTATATAAAATCATCGTATATCACTCTATATTGACCCTTATTAACATAGGCTTGTTGGTTATTATCTTAACGGTTTTATATCCAATATATATATGCTTGGTAGATGCTTAAATTAATAATCTACAACATGTTTTTTCAACCAAGTTTATGCATGCAACCAATTCTCCTTGTCGTACATCATTCCATGCCCATATTTACACAAATCTTTCGGATTGGTTCAGCCTTTGAGAGTCCATTGTTTGATGATATAATAATATATAAGCTAATAAGAGTGCGTACCTATTGTTAGCAATCATAAACTGTACATGGTGTGTATTCCCATTCGTACATATTCTTCCAAGATGATTTTTTTACTGTACTGGAGCCATCCCCTTTATTCACTTTGGTTTTCTCCAACAATAAACAGTATTATACGCATTCTGAACATGTTACTACTGAGATTGCAGTGAATCCGATTTACTTTGGTTAGTTCTTGAGATGATACACCTCGGTTATGAGGTTTCATTTATCAGTACTGGTTGATTAGGAGAGCTTACAGAAATCATCAAATGTTATACGTTTAATATGAATTTTTCCAGGCCATGCATGTAATGTTTAGTTGAGTCCTCATTCAGTTCACCCTTATCCTTGACTATTAATGATCTTGTTCTTCTGAAAATTTGTCTAACTGTAGTGTAAGAGTTATGAAGTTATAGAGAACTGGAGTCATTTATGTCGTGTAGGTTGCCAGTTTACTCATTAGGTCAAGCTATCTTATATACATCACAGTTTGGAGCTTTTGTTGAGACGATACCTAAATTTGAAAACAGTAATCCATATATTTTAGTTGTAGGTACGTCCAATTATCTCTCGAAATAAAAACAGACTACTGCCAAGTTTTGCTTGAATGAAGCATGTGATAATGACATCTATTTTCCTTACCAGGGATTTGGTTCTGCTCTTGTCACACTGTAGTTTTTCAGATTGTAGCCTAGTGAATTTTGCTTGACGAAACCCATACCATGAGGTGAAGAACCATTATTATAGCTAGCCCTCAAAATTTGCACTCGACCTTTATGTTGATTTTGCTTACAAGTTATTATATATCTATTACTATCTAATTACAAGTGTTAAAAGAAACCCTCGCATTCATGGAGAGTTCTTCGAAATTTCTACATAACTCAAAAATAAAAGCGCCTACACCATTTGATTTTATAATGATCGAATAGCATATATTAAAGCAACGAGTCCATGTCTAATAAAATTAATAAATAGCGAATTCAAAACAATAAATTCAGAAAAAATAGCAATTTGATTTCCATTTGAGTTGGAAAGCAAAAGGTACCTAAATTAAGAGTTCATGTAAAACGCAATCAGTGAAGCCAAAATTTGAATAAACTACAAAAAACTAATAGTTGATCTCCAAACGAATTGGAAAGAAAAAGGCAAATAAATAGTCTATATAAAATTCAATTATTAAATAGCTAAATTCAAATTTAAAAAATAGTAGTTTTATTTTCATATGTTGGAAAACACCTAAAAATTAGTGTATTAGTATAAGTAAGTTAGCGTTAATCAAATATATTTCATTATAAATGTCACCTTTGAGTTATGCCGTTACTATTGATCGCATTGAAACAGTGCCATTATAATTCTTCACCTCTGAACCGTCCCACTTTATATGTATCCAATGAAGTTAGGCCCATGTGCAAGCATTGCATAGCGACTACAGTTTAGTATAGACCGAAGTGCCCACATGGTCTTCTTCTTTCTATCTTTCTATCTTTCTTACTTCTTTAGCCCCTCCTCTATGGCCGCCATGCTTGACCTCATCTCTTTTCCCACCACCAAAATGATGGGTGTAAGACCTCCTTGCCTTTTTCTAGCATTGACCTCTTGCGTTCGCCGCTGACGTTGGCCTCACTGCGCTACTCCTCGTGCTTGACCTGGCATTCCCAAAGGTGGCTGAACCCACAGAGCACGCCGAGCTCAAGCACTGCGCGACAATGACGAGCACACACCACATGGCGAGCTCAAGCGCTCTGTCCCTGCTACCACTAAGCGAGATGCAAGAGAGCATCGTAGCGAAGATCTTGGAGACCAGGGAGGTTTTAGCGACGTTAACGTCACCAAGGAGGAGGCAAAGGGAGATGTGGTCGGCCACACCATCGAGCATGGACTTGGCCACCATCGGGGTGCTGGGTCGAGCATTCCCTGGCTCCGTGCTCGTTGGTCCCATTCTCGTAGGCTTCTCAGTTGTGCTTGCACTCGCTGTGCTACGTGTGGAGACATCGAGAGAGGAGAGATAGGGAGGGAGGGAGGGAGAGAATTGTGTGGGAGGGAGTAGATGATAAGTTTGATGAGTGGTGCCCACACATTAGTGAGTGGGAGAGGGACACAACAGGGGCATTTTTGTCCATATGAAAATATGGTAGCCTAAGAGTGAGTCAAACAGGATTCCAAACATATGGCATGGTAGATCTTAGTTAGATGTAGAATTATAAAAGCACCGGTCCAATATGAAGAATAGTAAATGGTATAACTCAGAAGAGCGACATAATGTCATAGATCTAACTAACCTAAAAGTTTAAACAAAATAGTCATCTCTATTACTCTCAAAGGCCAAAAACAATCACAATGATCCTATAGATCTAGATTGTACTGGTCTAGATCTATCAAAAGAATAGGAAAAAAGTAAAGAATCCATAAATAGAACAAGTATGGAAAGAGATAATATATATTTCATTCAATACTACAATTCAATTTTGTCGTGGTAATAAAATTGAAGGAAACCGAATGGAATGTTTTTGGTAGGGGTTACATTCATGCACATGAGCTATCCAAACTGGATACAAATGCCTTAGCACACCCATAAAAATCATCAAAGCACTTTCAATCCCCCCACTACTCTCTTCGCCTGTCATGCTCTATACCTTGCAACTTAGTCCTGAGCTCATTGAGTTGCTCTTTATGCGTGTTCCTATCTTGAAAGCTTTGGCATCACTAACTTCATCAACGAAGGGAAAATAAACAATCAGAGTGTGTTGATTCCAATGCGCGTGGCGCAAATATGATGATACGGCCACAACCTAGGGGAGGGAATAGGTACCAACGACCGAGATTATGACGTTATCACGAAAGCATGTCGACTTTTGATATCTTATGTGTAATTGGTCCATTTATTTCTAGATGTGCGTGCATGAGAAGCTCGTGAGCAGCACAATACAGATCATTTGGCTTTTTTCTTCACGAGAAGCTGGTTACAAGTGAGAACATACATGGCCAATTGCAATGTGGTAGAGTGCCATGGCACATGGGTTGCAGGCATGATATTGGTAGGTTTCGGTAGTTTATTTGTGACGGCTTGAGGCGCCAACGGATGTTGGCGTGATGACAAGGCCGATCAGCAGACAAAAGCAACATGTTTATGAATTTGATGACATTTTTAGAGAAAAGAAGCAAGTATAGATAAAAAAAACTCGATCCGCGGTGGCTACACAGCCTCCGAATATTCCGGCTTAAGAAGAAGATCTTCTCACGTAAATCGAGAAAACCCTCGAACCCCTGCTCCACCCTTACACAACGGCACCGCAACTCCGTAAGATGAGCTGACCACAGACCTGTGCTTTGGATGTAGGGTAGGCGAGAGAGTTCCCCCCTCCCCCCGGTCGCTGTGGACCGAAGCCACGAGAGTGAGTCTCTCAGGACTCGAACTCTGACCACCCGGGGAGGTACTAGAAGCAAGTATAGATACACAATACATTGCATAGGATGACCTAGAATTTAAAATTTATAAGACGTAAGCAGCATGGTTATGAACCGAACAATTTGTGTTAATTTGGACAAGAGTT